TGTGATTCTTGTTCTTTTCTTTGTTAATGTGATGAATTACATTGTTTTTCTTATGTTGAACCATACTACCAAAGGCAATTTACACATTCAGTGCAATCCAATACAAATACCAACTCCATTCTTCAATGAGATAAAAAGGCAATCTCCAATTTCATTTGGAATGGAAAGAGGCCCTGAATAAGCAAAGCACTCCTTAAAAAGAGAAACAAGGTAGGAGGCATCTCACTCCCTGGTTTCAAATCCTACTACACTGCTGTGGTGGTCAAGATAGTGTGGCGCTGGTACAATGACAGACACATAGGTCAACTGAATAGAATTGAGAATCCAGAAATCAACCCATCTACCTGTGATGAACTGATTTTTGACAAGGAGAGGAAATCAGTTAAGGGAAAATGGCAGACTTTTTAACAAATGGTGCAGAAAACTCAAGCAAGACCCACACCTCACTCTATATACAAAACCCAACTCAAAGTGGACCATGGACCTTGGACTAAAACCAAGGAGTATAAATTTCATCATGTCCACAGGAACAAAAATTTGACCTTGAGTCTATCACACCTGAATTTCATATTTGAACATATTTGATGCCTTGGACATTAATGAGCGAAGACCAGATGAGCTGTGGGAGGATATCAAGAATATCATCCAAGAAGAATGTAAAAGGTCATTATAAAAACAGAGGAGGAAGAAAAGACCAAGATAGATGTCAGAAGAAACTCTAAATATTGCACTGGAGTGCGAAGAAGCCAAAGCAAAGGAAAGAAATCAAGATACTAAGGAGTTGAACAGAAGATTCCAGAGGGCAGCACGGGAAGACAAAGTAAAGTATTACAACGAAATGTGCAAGGAGCTGGAGTCATAAAATCAAAAGGGCTGAACTCACTCAGCATTTCTTAAGCTCAAGGAACTGAAGAAGCAACAAATCCAAACCTCGAGTTGCAATACTTAAGGATGTTTTGGGCAGAATATTATTCAGGAAGCATTAAAAGAAGATGGAAAGATTATAGTCATTATACCAAAAGGAATTGATGGATAATATTGATAAATTGATAGAAGAATTTCATGAAACAATGTATAAGCAAGAGTCTGTAGTGATGAAGAGAGAAGTTCAAGCTGCTCTGAAGGAATTGGCAAAAAACAAGGCCTCAGGAATTGATGACATACCATTTGGCATATTTCAATGAATAGATGTCCTGGATGTGCTCACCAAGTTGTGCCAAGAAATTTGGAGGACAGTCACCTGGCCTACCTACTACTGACTAGAAGAGATCTGCTCTTTGTTCCCATTCCAAAGAAAGGTGATCCAACAGAGTGTGGAAGTTATTGAACAATATAATTGCTATCACATGTAAGCAAGATTCTGCTGAAGATTATCTAAAAGCGACTGGAACAGAACATCAACAGAAAACTGCCTGAAGTGAAGGCTGGATTTTTAAGAGGCCGCGGCACTAGGGATATTATTGCTAATGTCAGGTGGTTCTTGTCTGAAAGCAGAGTACCAGAGAAATGTCTATCTATGTTTCGTTTACTATGCAAAGGCATTTGACTGTGTGGATCGCAACAAACTGTGGCTGACTCTGAGAAGAATAAGAATCCCAGAACACTTGATTGTACTTATGCGAAATCTGTATCTGGACCAAGAGGCAGTCATCAAAACAGAGTAAGTAAACACTGCATGGTTCAAAATTGGGAAGGGTGTGTGTCAGGGATGTGTCCTGTCTCCATATCTTTTCAATCTATATGTGGAACAGATCTGAGAGTCTGTGCTCTATGAAAAGTGTGACATCAGGATTGGAGGTAGACTCGTCAACATGCTACATTATGCAGATGACACAACCCTGCTTGCTGAAACTGAGGAGGACCTGAAACACTTGCTGCAGAAGGTCAAAGACAGAAACTTTCAATATGGATTGAAGCTCAATCTCAAGAAAACAAATATTCTTACCACTGGGCCAATTGGCAGCATCATGATGGATGATGAAGAGATTGAGATTGTTGACAGCTTCAGTTTGTTTGGTTCTATCGTCAACACACTTGGCACCAGCAGCCAGGAAATTAAAAGACTAATTAATTGTATTGGGAAAGTCTGCTACCAGAGACCTCTCCAAAGTATGGAAGAGCAATGATGTCTGTCTGGAGACTAAAGTGTGCCTGATCCAGGCCATAGTCTTTGCAGTTACTTGTTAAGCATTAGAGAGCTGGACAATGACTAGGGATGATAAAAGGAGAGTTGATGCCTTTGAGCTTTGGTGTTGGAGAAGAGTATTGAATATAACATGAATTGCTGGGAGAACAAACAAGTTTGTCCTATTGAAGGTAAAGCCAGGCTGGTCTTTGGAGGCAAGGATTCTGAAGTTCTGTCTAACATACTTTGGACATGTTGCAAGGCAGGATTAGTCCTTGGAGAGGGACGTAATGCTTGGGAGGGTGGAGGGACAGTGCAGGAGAGGAAGACCCTTGATGAGATGGATTAATTCAGTCACTGGGGTAATGGGGATGGGCGTGTCAAAGACAGTAACATTGGCAAGGATAGAGCAGGATTTAGGACTGTTATACATAGGGTTGCTATGAGTCACAGGCAACTGGACAGCACATAACAACAACAATAATAAAGAAAAACTTGGAAGAACTCTAGAAGTCCTAATCCACAACATAAACAATCTTCCAAGCATCATGAAAAATCTGCAACCAGGAGAGGATAAAATAGATGAATGGGACCTTCTAAAAATCAATTCCCTAGGCACATCCAAAAACTTCTCCAACAGGGTAAAAAGGAAAGTCACAGACTGGGAAAAAATATTTGGGAGTGACTTGTCAGATACCAAATACTCGAGCACCACAACACGATAAAGGTAAACGACTCAATTGAAAAATAGGCACAGTATATGAACAGACACATCACCAAAGAAGACATTCATATAGCCAACAAATATATGAAGAAATGTTCAAAATCCCTAGCTCTAAGAGAGATGCAAATCAAAACAACTCTGAGCTATTATTTCATCCCAGTAAGAATAGCAAAATTTAACAGAATAGCAAGCAACAAAATGCTGTCGAGGATGTGAAGAAACTCTAACCTTATTCACTGTTGGTGGGAGTGTAAGATGGTGCAACTTCTATGGAAAGCTGTATGGCGCTTTCTCAAAAAGTTAGAAGTAGAAATAACAATTTCACTACTGGAAATATAGCCTGAAGAAACCATAATCACCACCCAAGTGGGTTTATGTACACTTATATTTATTGCAGCTTTGTTCACAATAGCAAAGAGTTGGAAACAACCAAGTACCCATTAACAAACTAATGGATAGAGCAGCTCTGGTATATTCATACAATGGAATACTATGCTGCATTGAAAAACAAGGGACTCATGAAATATTATACAAAATGGGTGACCATGGAGGATGTTACGCTAAGTGGAATATTAGTCACAAAAGGATAATATTGCAAAGTGACACAGTTGTAAAATGGGACTGACATCAGGCTGACGGGAGACTGAGATAGAGGGGATAAATAATGTATAATGCATTGAAACAGATGAGGGAAAGAATTGTTTAAAAGGGATATATGATTAGGTATTATTGTCATGGCAGGAGTCCAGAATGAAGACTGCATAGTGGAGTGGACTTGGGGGGAAGGGATTGTATAATAATGAAAGATATGTTCTTTTACTTTTCAAAGAGAAGAGTGAATGGTGGGTGGAGGGGTGGGCAGGGAGAAAAGTGCTACAATGAATGAATGGAAACCCTACGTCTCTGTAAACTTCCATTGAAATTATTTTTTAAAAAGGAAAAGATTCATTTTAGGTTTATGTAAGTTAAATAATGGGTAAAGAAAGAAAACTTCCATCTAAATAATTGGAAGAAATAAAGATGATGGGTATATCAGTGTACACTCATCTTCCAAGGAGGTGGGGAAGAAATCAAAGCTCATGAGCCAAAACAAAAATTAGTGTCCTTGGGTCAGAAACCTCATCATATTCCGTAGGGGATCAGGTCTCATCTCCAACTCACTTCCCAGCACAATGCTTGGTAGTATAAGACTCTAAGTGTTTCATTGAGGAAGGTGATGTGTTGGAGGATTCTTTTAATGCATGTTTATGGGATGTAAGAAGTAGTGAACAAGTTATTTTCCTTTTGTACATGTCGGGTTGCAGCATTTCATGAGATAACTGTGTATGTATGTTGTGGGAACCATATGAAACACAATGTCAGTTAAGTGTGGATCAATTTGCTTTGTAAACATTCTGCAAAAATGTGTGTGAATTGAATGGAAAACTAATCTGCTTTTACTCATAAATAAAACTAAAAGAAAGAAGGAGACACCTTGAACTCATTAGCACAAAGGAAATAGATGTTTAGTTGAGGAAGCTGTTTTCCTGTGCTCTCGTTTTAAGATTGAAATCATAGATTATTAGAGGCATACACGTGCTTCTTAGCATCATAGCCTGGAAAGTTATAAATATTTTTAATTTTATGATTGAAAGTTCAACCAAAGATCAACCAAAGGTAGGTAAGAAATCCCCAACTTTCTCAGCTGGGCTATGGTTATGCATTCTAGTATTTCTTCGGCCATAGTTTTGCAAACTTGAGCACGCATTATAAAAGAATTGATAGGTTCTCTGTGCCAAGGTTGGGCCCTATACTCACCTTTCTTCACACCACAGGCTTTTGGAATCATGGATTTGGGATGGAAAAACTGATGTGAAAGGGAACATATTGGGGGGAAAAATTAAGTATAACTTGGGAGCTTCATTGATAAAATTGCTCCACTTGGCGAGCTCTGGTCGCCCAGTGGCAAGAAACTGTACTGCAATCCCAGGGGAGCATGGTTCGAATCCACCAGATGCTCTGCTGGAGAAGGGGGGACACTTTCCTCCTGTACAAGTCAGATCCAGATCCAATTTAACGGTATACACACACACACACACACATTAAAAATAAATTGCTCTGCTTCTCTCTTGGTTCTCAATTCTGTTTTTCTGTTTTTCATCAACTTTGCAGATGTCCCTGGCTCCATGCCCAATGCATCATGGCTTGGCAACCTCAGAGCTGTGAAGTGGCTAGACATGGAAAATCAGCATGGAGGCTGCCATGGTGAGCATTCCTTTCAGGCTTTGTGGGATACGCGGGCTTATGGATAAAGATTATCCAGTGTATTTAGACCTATCTGGTCATTTTTAAGTAGAGAAGCTGGAGTCTCTGCCATCCTTGAAAAATATGCCTAAGCCTCTTCCATGGATTCTTTTTCATATCTTTGGAGACGTAGCCCTGGGTACGAATGACAATGGGGTTTTCTTCTTGTTAGTTTCTACATTTTTAAAAAGGGGCTGTTGGAAGGGGAGAGTCATTAGGCGGAGAGCCATATTCTCACACATCTCTCTAGTTGGCCCCTGCTCCCTCCATGGGCAGTTTCTCAACCACAATAGCACTTCCAGCAGTTTGGCAAGCTGAGTTGGTTGCCACAGAGGTTTAATTTCTATTCACACTTATGCAGAAGGATTTTGGTCCATTTTTTGTGTACTTTCTTTTTGCAATCTTATTTTTTTTTTATTGGGGTAAATATATTGGTACCCAAAAGGTCAGTGATTCAACTCCACCAACTGCTATGAGGAAGAAAGATGGGCCATCTCCTCTTGTAAAGATTTATAGCCTTAGAAACCCAAGGAAGGGTCACTGAATCAGAATCAACTCAGTGGCAGTCGGCTGTAGTTGTTGTTGTTAGGTACCATCGCATTGAATACAATGCATAGCAACCCTATGAACAACAACTCTGCACCCTGTCCTATCCTGTGCTGGCCTCACAACCCCTGACACACTTAAGCCCACTGTTGCAGTCATTCTGTCAGTCGACTTAGTTGAGAGCCTTCCTCTCTTTCACTGTCCCTCCAAGAATGATGTCCTTCACCAATGAATAGCCTCTCCTAGCATCATGCCCAGTGTGAGACATCCTTGCCTCCAAGGAGCACTCTTAGCTGCACCTTCTCCAAGACATCTGTTTGTTCTCTTGACAGTTCATGGGATTTTCAGTCCATGGGATGCCAGTAGGTATTGGGGATATATATGTTTATATCACATATTTAAAAGGAGTCCCTGGGTGGTACAAATGGTTAAGCATTTAACTCCTATCTTAAAGGTTGGCAGTTCGACGTCATTCAGAGTACCTCAGAAGAAAAATCTGATAATATTTATTATTATTATTATTGTTATTGTTAGGATTTTAACAAAAGTTTATCTAAAAATTGGATTTTCATTCATTCCTTGTTGCATATTTTCCTCCCATATCATTGTTTTTTAAAAAATATTCATTCATTTTTGCACAATTTCCTCCCTCCCCCAGTTCACTTTGCAATGTTGGATTGCTGTCATGCAAATAATACCTAATCAGGTGTTCCTTTTACACCCTTATATCTGGCCATCTTATATTCAAACGTCATAGCCTTCCCCAACTCTATGGAGCAGTTCTACTCCATATGCTCCAAGTAAGCCAGAATAAACTTGACAGCAATGCATTTGGCTTTTTATTTGGTTAAATATATAAAACAAACATTTACCATTTCAAATGTGCAATTTGATGCTTTAGGCCTTCTCCGCCTAGGTAACAAGGCTTTGCTTCCACTGTCCTCTCAATCTGTGCCTTCGCTCATCAGCTCATCTTACCTAATGTTTCAGGTGAAAACGGTGAGAGACAGGAAGACCCTCAGTTAGATAGATTGACACAGGGACTGCAGAAATGGGCTCTTGTGTGTCAGGGATTGCAAGGGTGGCACAGGATAGGACAAGGTTCATATCTGTTGTTCATAGGGTTGCACTTTGTTGTTATGTGTCCTTGAGTAGGAAATGACTCATAGCTGACCCTTCAGTAGGTTCTCAGAGGTTGTATATCACAGGGGAAGAGATTACTCATCTTTTTCTCACAGATCAGCTGTTAGATATCCTTACAGCTGAGCCACTAGAGCACAATGCGGCATGTTTGTGTTGATCATGTTGAGCAAACATACCATTATCTATTTTCAAGTTTCCTCATTGCTTTTCATATGAAGCTCAGAATTCTCTAACAGTAATCCACTCTTTTCCCCTCCCTCACACCTTCCGCTGGTAACCATAATAAACTTGAGTCTGTACACTCTTGGCTCTTCTAAGACGTACTGACATATTGACATACTGTCCATCTTGACTGTTGCCTGATACATCATAGGCATCCTGTAAGACTTTATTCAGGAGGTAAAAATAAGAAAGAGTGAATATGGAGTTTAGGCCTTCACCCCATGGGGTAACAAGGCTTTGCTTCCCCTCTCCTCTCAATCTGTGCCTTCACTCATCAGCTCATCTTACCTAACATTTCAGATGGAAACATCATTGCTGCCTCTCTGCAGATCTCCCTTTTAATAGCCCCCTCCACTGTAGAGGGCAATCCTGTCACATCACTGCCCAGAAGTTCTGATTTGTTCTCAAGCGTATTCCCGTCCTCACCTTCATCAGTCCACATGTCTGTATTCTCATCATATCTTGTCCTTCTATAAACACAAGATAGAAAGCAAGACATTTTTTCCCTCTTTGATGTTCTGGGTCTGCTTTAAGAAACTGACCATCACCATCAGGCAGGTCCTGAACATCTTCTCTAGATCCTGCTACCAGCCACTGTCACCTAGGACTGCTGAAGTCCTGCATGTTGCTTGTCTGTGCAGCTCCTCTTCAGTTGGATACTTGTGGTCTCCAATATCAATATCAGCGACCCTTGTGATGTCACTGCCTTGCAGTTCTAACCATCCCCCACTCTACAAGCTCTGCTCCACTATGCCTCTGGAAAGGCCATACCAGGTCCTTGTCATTCCCTGGATACAGGCCTTGTCTCGGCAGATATAGTATAGACTAGCTTGATCATGTTTGTACTATTGTCATTAGGTGCCAACAAGTCACCTTTGACTCATAGCGACCCCATGAACAGCAGAGCTGAACTTTGGGGTGTCTAGCACCATCCCCAAGGTCTTCAATATGCTTGAGCCCATTGCTATAATCACTGTGTTAATCCATCTTAATGAGGGTCTTTCTGTTTCTCTGAGACTCCACCCTTCCCAGCAAATGGTGCCTCCTGACCACACCCCCCATGTATGTGTGATGAAGTTCCACCATCCTTGCCTCCCAAAGTGCACCCTGGTTGTACTTTCTCCAACACAGACTTGTTTGTTCCTTTGGCTGATAACCTAAGAAACTGTATATTGCCTACAATCATAAATTTTTGCTATTTTTTAAATGAAAGAATTCACAGTAAACAATATGAAAGTAAAGATGTTGTTGTTATGTGCCGTCGAGTCGTTTGCGACTCATAGCGACCCTATGTACAACAGCCCTAAACCCTGCTCTGTCCTGTGCCAATTGCATTGCCTCTGACACACCCATCCCGATTACCCCAGTCACTGAATCAATCCACCTCATAGAGGGTCTTCCCCTCCTGCGCTGTCCCTCTACTCTACCCAGCATGATGTCCCTCTCTAAAGACCTGTCTCTCCTTCAACATGTCCAAAGTATGTCAGACGAAGCCCCAGAATCCTTGCCTCCAAGGAGCAGCCTGGTTTAACCCTCTCTAGGATAAATCTGTTTGTTTACTTGGCAGTCCATGGTACATTCAATACTCTTCTCCAGCACCACAGCTCAAAGGCATCAATTCTCCTTCTATCCTCCCTAGTCATTGTCCTACTCTCTGATGCATAACAAGTGATTGCAAAAACCATGGCCTGTATCAGGTGCACCTTAGTCTCCAGAGACATCATTGCTCTTGAGTACTTTAGAGAGGTCCCTAACAGCAGACTTTCCCATTGCAATACATTTTTTTATTTCCTTGCTGCTGGTGCCAAGAGTGTTGACCGTGGAGCCAAGCAAACGAAAGCTGTGAACAATCTCAATCCCATCCATCCTGATGCCACCAATTGGTCCAGTGGTGAGAATCTTTGTCTTCTTGACATTGAGCGTCAGTCCATACTGAAGGCTGCAGTCCTTGACCCTCTGCAGTAAGTGCATGAGGTCCTCCTCAGTTTCAGCGAGCAGGGTTGTGTCATCCGCATAATGCAGATAATGACCTTAAAATTCCAGCCCTCCTGTAGCTTACTGTCTAGTCTCAATAGACAGACAATAAATAACTATTCAGAGAGAGAGAGAGAAATTAATTTTTTAACCCCTTTAGCACTGATATCTATCTTTCTGGCACTAAATGTGAAAAGAAAATTGAGCCAATGAAAGGACATCAGAGGGGGGCTTCACTGAGAAGAGGGACTCAGAGCTGAGGTCTGAGCTTGTGTGGGATGGAGGCATGAGGAATTCTGGAGGAAGGCAGTGCAGGAGAGGAATCTCTCCCTCATTGCCATCCAGTAGGTTCTAGTTCGTAGCTGTTCCTCTAGTGGTTTTTCAGAGGCTGTAAATTGGCATGGTTAGAGAATGTCCATTTTCTTCTCCCACAGAGCCAGTGCTGGATTTGCACCATGGCTTTTGGGTTAGCAGAGCAACTCCCCACAGACTAGGTGGGCCAAGGGAGAAATCAGCAATGTAAATGTGCTCATGCACAGGCTAGAATAGCCAAAGGAACAAAGGTTTGAGTGAGAGGAGAGAAGTCAGTCCACTATGGTCATAAAAGGTGCCAAGCTGAGAGGAGTCTCCAGTGCCATTGTTATGGTGTTGACTTTTTTCCCTTGTGAGATGAGAAACAAAAGACCTGGATTCTAATACATTTTAAAACAATCACTGACTATTGTGCTACTCAGGGAAGACTAACTTTAATTGTTTAGACAGGAAGATAGACAAGGCTTGGACCAGGGAGGAGATGGTGAGAAATGGTTAAATTATAGAAATATTTGAAAGATTAAGCTGCTATCATTCACTGATAAATTGGATGTAGGATGTGAGTAAAAGAGCAGAATGCCTGAGATCCCGAAGACTAGACTTGCCTGGCCCAAGTCAGGGTATTTTCAGTCACCTCAAATGCATGCAAAAGCTGGACAATGAGTAAAGAAGACGGAGGAAGTAGACCAAAGTAGAACACTGATGCCTTTGAATTGTGGTGTTAGTAAAGAATATTGAATTCCAGAAGAGTAAGCAAATCCATC